TTCTGCTGTTTAGTTATTTCTGTATGTGTTTTGGTTTTTTATGCCTCACTTCTTCCATTATGGCATTGGGGTGGTGGTATTTAGTTGAGTTGTTTGCCTTTTTGATTCACTTCTTTCATTTTATTTATTTTATTTTACTTTTTTGAGACGGAGTCTTGCCCTGAGACGGAGTGCAATGACGTGATCTCGGCTCACTGCAACCTCCACCTCCTGGGTTCAAGCAATTCTCCTGCCTCAGCCTCCTAAGTAGCTGGGACTACAGGCGCGTGCCACCATGCCCAGCTAATTTTTGTATTTTTTAGTAGAGACAGGGTTTCACCATGTTGGCCAGGATGGTCTCAATCTCTTGACCTTGTGATCCTCCTGCCTCGGCCTCCCAAAGTGCTGGGATTACAGATGTGAGCCACTCGCCCGACCTACTTCTTTCATTTTCATTATATTTTAAAGTTTGTTTTCTTAGTGGTTACCTTGGGGATTATAATTAATATCTTAAACTAGTTGGGAGAATGCCAGGTTAGCTTTAGCAGTATATAAACACACTGCTTCTATAAATCTCCATCCTTCCTTTATATTGTTGTCATAGATTATATCTTTTTACATAGTATATTTATTAACAGATTTGATTGTTTCATTTATTTGCCTTTTGTTTTTTGTTTATTTTTGTAAATTTTATTTTACGTGCAGACTCCTCTGCCTGAGCTGCCACTCCTGAGAGGAGCTGTACATTTGCCTTTTATATCACTTAGGAAAAAGACATTACAAACCGAAGTACAACACTACGTTTATATTTACCTAGGAAGTTAGACTTATTAGTGTTGTTTATTTTTTTTCACGACCGTTTTCATGTTACTGTCTACTATCCTTTTATTTCAGACTAAAGGACTCCCTGTAGCATTTCTTGTATGGCATGTCTATTGCAAATGAATGCTCTTAGCTTTGTTGACTTGGAAATGTCTTTAATGTTTCCTTCCTTCTTGAAGGATAGTTTCACTGATTATAAAGTTACTGGTTGACTAGTTGTTTTGTTTCAAAGCTTTTTTTTCTTTTCTTTTCTTTCTTTCTTTCTTTCTTTCTTTCTTTCTTTCTTTCTTTCTTTTTTTTTTTTTCTTTCTTTCTCTTTTTCTTTCTTTTTTCTTTCTTTCTTTTTTTTTTTTTTTTTTTTTTTTTTTCTTTTTTTTTTTTTTTTTTTGAGATGGAGTCTTGCTCTGTTGCCCAGGCTGGAGTGCAATGGCACAATCTCGGCTCACTGCAACCTCCAGTTCCCAGGTTCAAGCAATTCTCCTACCTCAGCCTCCTGAGTAACTGGAATTACAGGTACCTGCCACCATGCCTGGCTAATTTTTATATTTTTAGTAGAGACAGGGTTTTACCATGTTGTACCAGGCTGATCTCGAACTCCTCAGGTGATCTGCCCGCCCCGGCCTCCCAAAGTGTTGGGATTACAGGCGTGAGCCATTGTGCCAGCCTTTTTTTTTTTTTTTTTTTTTGAGACAGAGTCTTGCTCTGTTGCCCAGGACGGAGTGCATTGGCTCAATCTCCACTCAATGCAACTCCATCTGCTGGGCTCAAGTGATTCTCCGTCCTCAGCGTTCTGAGTAGCTGGTACCACAGGCATGCACCACCATGCCTGGATAATTTTTGTATATTTTGTAAAGGTGGGATTTCACTATGTTGCCAGGTGGGTCTTGAAATCTTGGACTCACCCAATTCACCTGACTAGGCCTCCCAAATAGCTGGGATTACAGGCGTGCTTCATGTAATCCCAGCCTTCTTTCAATGCTTTATTTTGTTTTTATTTTTATTTTAGACACAGGGTCTTGCTCTGTTTCTCAGAAAAGAGTGCAATGGCATGATCATGACTTATTGCAGCATTGACCTTGTAGGATCAAGCCGTCTTCCTACCTTGGTCTTCTGAGTAGCTAGTAGAACACCACTGTGCCCGATCAATTAAAAAAAAAATTTTTTTTTTTTTTTTTTTTGGTAGTGATCAGGGCTCACGATGTTGTCCAGGCTGGTCTCAAACTCCTGGCTTCAAGTGATTCTCCTGCCTCAGTCTCCCAAAGTGTTGGAATTACAGGTGTGAGCTGGTGCACCTGACTTTTCAATAATTGAAATATGTCCCACTGTCTTCTGGCTTCCATGGTTAATCTTACTGAGGATGCTTGCACGTGATGAGTTGCTTTTAGCTTGCTGTGTTCAAGTTTCTCTTGTGTTTGTGTTTTGGCAGTTTGACTATAATTTATCTGAGTGTAGGTCTCTTGAGTTCGTACTACTTGGAGTTTGTTAAGCTTGTTGGGTTTGTATATTTATGTATTTCATCAAATGTGGGAAGTTTTCAGTAATTATTTCTTCAAATCTTTTATCTGACCGTTTCTGTTCTTCTGAGATTTCTATAATGTGTATATTGGTATGTCTGTTGGTTTCCCACACGTCCCTCAGGCTGTATTAATTTTTCTTTTTTTTCTGGTTCCTCAGACTGGAAAATTTTAATTGTTTTGTATGCCAGTTCCCTGATCCTTTTTTCTACTTGCTTAAGTCTGATGTTGAACCCCTGAAATGAATTTTTAATTTCAGTTATTGTACTTGTCAATTCTAGGCTTTCTGCTTGGTTCTTTTTTATAATTTCTGTCTCTTCATTGTATTCTTATTTTGTTCAGACATTGATTTCCTGATTTCCTTTAGTTTTTTCCTCACAGTTTTCTTGAGCACATTGAACATATTTAAGACCATTCATGTGGCATCTTTGTTAAGTCCAGTATCTGGGTTTTTTCAGAGGTGGTTTTTGTTAAATTATTTTTTTTCTTGTGAATGGGCCATAGTTGCTTATTTCTTTGTATGATTTGTAATTTTTTGTTGAGGATGGGAAATTCTTAATATTGTGTTTGGAAGTTTGGAAGTCTAATTCTTCCACTCTTCAGGAATTGCTGATTTTTGCTGATCAACTTCTTGATCCATCTGTTTGAACTTTTCTAAGCTGTTTTTTGTAAAGAGTGTGTTCCTTATTGAATATGGAAATTTTGATTATATTGTCCCTGTGTTTAACCAGCAGTCTGACAACAATTTCCTTAAATGTCGGTCTCCCACAATGGGTAAAGGGGTGCAGAACAAACTACCTTTTTAAATCCCTTGGTGGCTGGGAAGCTGCTTGAGCCCATCAGGGTTGAAACGATGTCCAGCCTCTAAGCTTGGCCCCTCAGCCATCAAAAGCAGTAGTCAGCAATCAAAACACACAACCTTGACTTTTCAAGGTTGAAAAACCAAGATGCAAGGTTCTCATTTCCCAATCTGTCACCAGCCAGCTACACCAAGAACATCCTATGCCTACCTGCCATGGGCTGTTGGCTGGGGGATTATAGCAGCCATGTTATTAATAAATGTGAAGTTCACTGAAATTCACTTGCTGCTTTATCAAACTCTCCTCTGGGCCCTGAAGTGTTGAACTAGACTCCAGAGTTCAAAAATAGTTGCTTTAGACAGTTCTATTAGCTGAATAGTTGTTTTGATCTCAGAATCCTGAAGCTTCCTGTTCTCTCTTCCATGATGTCACTCAGCTCTTTTATGGTAAGAATATATTTTTAATGTACCATTTTAATTTCTGGGGTTTTAGCTGTATTTTTAAAGTTATTTTTAGTAGTTGCTTTAAGGGTTACTATATATATCTTAATTTATCACAATCTGCTTCAAATTAATACTGACTTAATTCTGGTAAAATATAGGAACTTTGTTTCAATGTAGCTTCAATTTTGCCCCCTTCATTTGTGCTTTTATTGTTATGTAATACTCAAAATAGTGTTAATTGTTGCTTTATAACAGACTTGTCTTTCAAAGAAAAGAGAGAGAACAATAGTTATGCAGTATTTATAATTAATCGCATATTTAGCATTTTCAGCACTCTTAATTGGTTCTTGGAGATTTGAATTAGAGTCTGGTGTTATTTTCTTTCACCCAGTAGGACATTCTGAGCTGGTATGGGCAATGGTGGCAGCCTTGGGTAAGAACAGGCTGTCGCTGTTCTTGTGTCAACGTTAGCAGTTTTTCATGAATAAACACTTTTTAATTTGTTACATTTGGGTCATTTTTAGAACCCCGAAGTACTCATTTTTGACAATGTCCAGTCATTTTTGGGGGAGACAATTTTCTGAACTCTTCACTGTGCCACAACTGGAAGTCTTCCTATCTACCATGATATTTTTGCAGAGACTATAGATTACATTTTGCACTCTCCTTAGCTGTGCAGAGATTGGGCTTAGAGCCAAGGCAGGCTGAAAAGGGAACCTACTTTTCCTAAGCTGATGGGACTTAGGAGGAAAGGGGTTAGAAGGAGGGCAAAGAGTAATTGCGCCTTTATTATCGCCTGGGTCTTTGAGCCCCCACATCCTATCTTTCCTAGGAGATGGCCTGAGGCTTAGTCCTTCACAAGGCAATGTCCTTATGGAGGCTTTCTGGCTCCTTCTACCTCCCTCTCTCTTCCTTGCCTTGTCTGGGTTGGGGAGAGTAGACATGGGATACTCAATGTTAAGAAGCACTTGCCTTGTAGCCTTGCCTAGTGACTGCTGTGTGCCTTCTGTGGAGGATGTGGAAGGACTCAAAATAGGTATCAGGGCACCAGGATAAGTGTTGGCTCTGCACATTCTGCATGAGGTTTTCATTCTTCTTTCAGACAGTTTTGCACAGGGGCTTTGTGTTTGGAGCTAGGGTGAGGATGTTGGGACACTCTGTAGCTCATGCCCTTAGTGAAGGTTTTAGGGAACTGCTACCCAGGAGGGGAGAAGAGAGAAAATAATTGCCTCAGAGAGTAATATGCTAACCATCCTACCAGTTACGGGGGAGAAAATACCCATATAATTCTTAAAGAACTTTACTGATTAGGTCTGTTGCCTCCTGTGTAGAATTTCTGTGGGGAAAAAAGCCAAATGTTACCTTATTGTTGCCTTTATCTTTCTGCAGATAATGCCTCAAACATCTCTGTAACTAGATGCCTTTGCTTTTCTCTTTTGCAGAGGAATGTGTCGGCATCCGGAGTCATCCCTCAGATTTCTCTGATCATGGGCCCATGTGCTGGCGGGGCCGTCTACTCCCCGGCCCTAACAGACTTCACGTTCATGGTAAAGGTAAGAAAGAAGGGCCTGTTTCTGGTGCCCTTTGAGATTTGTGTAGGTCCTTACCTGCAATAAAAATAATTCCTGACCCAGATCTAGGTTGTTATCTGCGTTCTCATTGGCTTTCAGCATAGCGATAAGGTGTTAGTGGAAATAGGGTTTTGGCATAAAATCTGTAGCTTGGGGTTCAGTGCCAGGGAGTGCTTATGAACTTCATTGGTGGGTGATTTTACTTGTTGATCTGAATTGCAAATGATTTTCACATAATCAAAGGATCCTTGCCTCTGACCAGATAGATGACTGTTTAGTGAATCCTGTTCCAGAAGTTTCTCACGGAAGGCTTTTCTATAATCTGTTTATTGTGAAGTTGTTTCTGATGTTTCACCTTTATTACTTCAGCTCCTTACCATTTTATTACATTGTGTCCATAATGGTAATGGATAAATCCGATCTCACACTTCATTTTGAGAGGTACATATCTTTATCACATTACTTTAATAGAATTATATTTTTAAAGTAATTTAAAAAGAAGTCTATGTGAACTTACGCATGAATAATTACCATTAATCTCAAATCTTTCTTTAAAAAATCAGCCTTTCCTTCTTAGAATATTAATAAAAGATAACATTGGATGCCAAGACAGAAAGGTTGGGGGGAGAAAGTAATGATAGCTGTCCAACATGAGGAGAGGAGTTCTAGAGGGATTGTAAATGGGAATCCCTTTGTTCTTGAGGGAAGTTAGGCAGTAGGAATTCAAATGTTTCACAAAGTGCTTACCGTTGTGACCCAACTATTCTGTTCTTAGTGACATATTGAAAGCAGTGTAAGTGTTCAACAACAGGGGTGAGTTTTATTAATCAAATTTAAGATGGGCCAGGCTCAGTGGCACATACCTGTAATCCCAGCACTTTGGGAGGCTGATGCAGGTGGATCACTTGAGCTCAGGAGTTTGAGACCAGCCTGGGCAATGTAGTGAAACCACATCTTTACAAAAAAAAAAAAATACAAAAATTAGCTGGGCATGGTGGTGCACAGCTGTGGTCCCAGCTACTTGGGAGGCTGAGATGCGAGGCTTACTTGACCCCATAAAGGTCTAGGCCCCAGGATCACTTGAGCCCAGAAGGCCGAGCCAAGATTGTGCCACTGCACTCCAGCCCTGGGAGACAGAGGAAGACTCTGCCTCAAGATGAATGAATGAATGAATGAATGAATGAATGCAAAATGACCGCTTTTCTTACTTTGTAGACAACATACCTAGCTGTTGCTACCCCCGTTCTCTCCTCCTTCCTGCCTGTTATGAAGGGAGGTGTGGGATCAATCCCTCTGGATAAAGCCATCCTTTCCTCTTGCTACACACATCCACATTGCTGAATATAACTCTCCACCCCTCTTCGGAACTCTTATATTGTCCCTTCTCTCCTTTCTCTTTACTATCTTCTGTCTCTCCCTTGGTACTGGATCCTCCTGTCAAAACTTAATCACGCTCAGGTCTCGTTTCTTCAAAACAAAAACTCTCCTGTAGTTTGCATACTCCTGTAGCTCTTGCTCTGTTTCTCTCTTGCCATCCGATTCTTAAACATGTGTTAATTTAGCTTTGTCCTCTAGTCCACTAAATCATCTTTTTAAGGTCCTCGGTGATCTTTGTGTTACTGTAAGTGCGCTTTAACTCTTGCCTTCCTCAGTCTTTCAGTGGTATTCCCTTGGCTTCCATTACACCATACTCTGGCATTTCTTCTCACAACTCTTGACCATACCTTCCTGGTTTCCAATGGCAATCTATATGATTCCACTCAGACTCTAGATGCTGGAGTTCATTCCTCCTGCTTTCTCTTTTAATTTTGTATTTTCTTCTGAGCAATCTCTTTTTCTGCTTACAAAACTTTAGTTAATAATTGCATATTAGTGAGACTTCCTCTGTTGTCCTAAGCAACATTATTAAGCCTTAACTCTTCTACATCTTAATATTCTGTGTATTTAATATGAGTGCAGTGAAAATGCTCTTTTTAAAAGGACTACACAAAGTAATGATAAAATTCTTATGGGAGGAAGAAACACCATGCAAGAATAAATATTCTGTAGAAGTAGTGTAATGAGGAGCTAGCCCTACCAGATGCCAGGATATAAAACTGCAGTAACTAAAACTGTCTAAAGAACTTATAAATAAATGGACAGAAAGACTAAGGGACATTACAGAATTAATAAATAGATCTATGTCTATTTGGACACATAGTTTATGATGAAAAGGATATTGTTCTAAGCAGAGTCACTGATAGTAACAATTTCTTACGTCAGAGATTTGAGTGATTCCTGCATCACTAAATCCATTTGACATTTCTCAGCCTTTGCCTTACCTCCTAGCATTTGCTCTAGCTGATCACTCCAGTCTCACGACTAAATACTGATCCATATGCTGATAACTCTCAAATCTGTTTCTCCAGGATTATGTGTAAGAGCCTACTAGCATTTCCATTTGGACTTTAATGGATATCTCAAACTTAACAGGTTTTGATTTCTACCAAGCCCCTCCTGAATTGCTCCCTACAGCCTTCCCCATTTTAAATGGCAAATCTAGTCTTTCAGTGGCTCAGGTAAATGCTTTGACACTATTTCGACTCATCTTTTGCTTTCACATCCCAAATTTAGTCAGAAGGTCCTGTTGGCTTTACTTTAGAATATAATTTACAATATAATCAAATTGCTTCTTAGCACTACTACTTACTTCTTACTACCAAAACTGTTACCACTTTGATTTAAGCACATCATTTCCCACCTGATTATTACAGAATCCTCCTGACTGGTCTCCCTGCTTCTGTCACTTACTCCTTTGAGAGTCAAATTTACAGCCAGGTGTAGTGGCTCACACCTGTAATCCCAGCACTTTGGGAGGCTGAGGTGGGTGGATCACGAGGGCAGGGGTTCGAGACCAGCCTGACCAACATGGTGAAACCCCATCTCTACTTAAAAATACAAAAATTAGCTGGACGTGGTGGCGCGCACCTTGTAATCGTGGCTACGTGGGAGGCTGGGGCAAGAGAATTGCTTGAACCCAGCGGGTGGAGGTTGCGGCGAGTTGAGAGTGCACCATTGCACTCCAGCCTGGATAACAGAGCGAGACTCTCCCCCTGCCCACCAAAAAAAAGAGTCAAACTTACAATTTTTAAAATTTGAAATCATTTTAAATTTTGTAATATGCACATTCAGGAAAGTACAAAAGATATGTATAGTTTAGCAGTTATTACAAAGTGCAAATGTGTGTAAATAGTATCCAGGTCAGGCTGGATGTGGTGGCTCACACCTCTAATCCCAGTGCTTTGGGAGGCCGAGCCGGGTGGATCACTTGAGGCCAGTAGTTTGAGACCAGCTTGGCCAACATGATGAAACACTGTCTCTACTAAAAACACAAAAATTAGCCAAGCGCATTAGTATGCGCTTGTAGTCCCAGGTACTCAGGAGGCTGAGACATGAGAATCTCTTAAACCTGGGAGGCGGAGGTTGCAGTGAGCCAAGATCGCCCTACTGCCCTCCAGCCTGGGTGACAGAACAAGACTCTGTCTCAAAAATAAATAAAAAAATAAAAATAAAAATAAATAAATAATACCCAGATCAGGAAATAGCTCTTCAAGAGCTCTGTCCTCGTGATCGTTTCTAAGGATCACTGTAGCTTCCATCTTGCATAGAATTCTTTATTGTCTCAACTTTTATGGTAATTTTTTATTTGCTTTGTTTCATAGTTGAAAATAAAAATTGTCTCCCTAAAAAATGTGGATTAGCATTTCCTATTTTGATCTTGATGTTATGTGAAACCATATAATATGCTTTCTTTTGTGGATGGCTTCTGGCTAAAAATTATGTTTTTAAGATGTATTGATGTTGTTATTTGAAAATGTAGTTGATTCACTTTAATAGCTGTGTAGTAAGTGTGTGTGTGTGTGTGTGTGTGTGTGTGTGTGTGTGTGTGTCTATGTGTCTATTTAGAGTCTTGCTCTGTCACCCAGGCTGGAATGCAGTGGTGTGGATCTCAGCTCACTGCAACCATTGCCTCCTGAGTTTAAGTGATTTTTGCATCTCAGCCTCTTGAGTAGCTGGGACTACAGGTGTGTGCCACCACACACCTGGCCAATTTTTTGTATTTTTGGTAGAGATGGATTTTGCTATATTGGCCAGGTTGCTCTCCAACTCTTGGCCTCAAGTAATCTGCCAGCCTCAGCCTCCTAGAGTGTTGGAAGTATAGGTGTGAGCCACCTTGCCCAGCCATAGTAAGTATTTCTTAATATATTCATTCATTCCACCGCCAGTGGACATTTGAATTATTTCAAGATTTTTGCCATTGCAAATGATGCTGATATAAACTTTTTTTTTTTTAATACTTCCTGTTGGTTTGCAGATACAAACATTCTTTTACATGTATCTTGGCGTGCACATTTCAGTTTCTCACATTAGAGGCAGTCGTAGGTCATAGGATATATATGTCTTCAGCTCCTCTAGGTATGCATGTTTACTAAAAAGGTTGCACCCAGCAGTTGGAGATTTTCACTTGTTTCACATCCTTGTCAGCACTTATATTAACATTTTAATTGTGCCAAGTTTGATGCTTGTGTAGCCTCTTACTGTGTTCTCAGTTTGTATTGACTCAGTTTGCATTAGTTCATGACTAATAAGGTTGAGTGCCTTTTCGTATGATTTCTGTTCTTCTAAATTAAGACATGTTTATTAATGTAGTCTATCTTGGTGTATGTTCCATGGGAGCTTGAGAAGAAAGTGTATTCTGTTGTTAGATTAAGTATGTCCATCATATCCAGTTTATTGGTACTGTTTTAATTTTTAAAATGATTTCTATTTATTTTAATTTTTAATTTATATTTTTTTGAGACAAGTCTTGCTCTCTCACCCAGGCTGTTGTGATCTTAGCTCACTGCAACCTTCATCTCCCAGGTTCAAGTGATCCTCCTGCCTCAACCTCCTGAGTAGGTGGGACTCCAGGCACATACTGCCATGCCTACCTAATTTTTTTTTTTGCGTGTGGAGATGAGGTCTTGCTAGGTTGCTTAGACTGGTCTTGAACTTCTGGGCTCAAGCAGTCCTCCTCTCTT